GAAAGTTATTTGTAGAAGTAAAAACAACGGAAAAACCCAATCATGGTCTTAGTTACTTGTGTTTAAGAAACAAATACCTAAGCTAAAAGGTTAAGTGTGACAATTTATTTTAGATCCAGTTTGCAGAGCTATCATTCCACGGTGGGTTGTCTCTCAGGAAGGGTGGCATGACAGAAGGTCATTACAGAGGAGAAACATTTCATAGTACAGCGGAGCAGACAAAAGGCAGCAAGCAGCATGCATCTCTTTTCATTTTATGTCATCTAGGTAAGGTATAAGCCTTTGAAGTGGAGCACCAATTATTTTTCATCCCATCATTCACCCAGAACTATGATAAACTATGACTAATCCAGTACCACAATCCTTTAATACCACTGTCACACCCTTAATCCACACTGACACTTCCTTGATCCAGCCCCCACTGAAAAGCCTCATGTAAGAGTGCATAGCTCTTGGGTAGACACCTAGAACTTAGCCATAACAGGCACCATAATGGAAGATGATATAATCCAATGAAGTTTGTCTTCTGGGAAAAAAAAAAGACAGCCTCACCATTTGGCCTGATGCTATCCTGTCTTAAATCTACATTCTATACTCAGAATAATATGTTGTATATATTTTCATGTATTTGATTTTTCTAGTACTTTTCATGTATTTTATATATTCCTGAAGCCCTTTCAATAAATGTACTTAATAACATATTTGCCTTAGGACGGGGGAGATAGCTCAGTGGCATAAGCACTTGCCTGGCAAATGCAAGGTTCCGAGTTCAATCCGCAGTACCATAAAAAAAAATTCAATAACATATCTGCCTTCAAACATAGTTTTCTGGGCCAGGGAAATGACTCAGTGGAATTAGTGCTTCCTTGGCAAGTGCAAGGGCCTGAGTTCAATCCCTGGTTCCACAAAAAAACAGAAAAAACAAAACAAAACATTTTTCTGGTGGCCATTCAGTTATAATTTTCTATTGGATATTTTTATCTACACTTTAATACTTTCCATAGTCTTTTTGTTACACAAGACTGTCTATAAGTGGATTCTTGGAGTGCGGCTGAGTGCTAAACCTCACAATCTGATGCCTCTTGTTTCTTATGTACAGAAAACTAGATAGTAAATAATATTCAAGTTCACTTTTTTATTCATTCTTTAATAATGTTTTAAAATAACAACATTGGGTTATATCTATCAGTCTCTAAGAAATATGTACTTCAGTAATTACTTGAAGTTAAACTGATGGCACTGCCTGTGGTTCAAACATTGGTGTAATGACTTTTTTTAACTTTTATTTATTTTATACAGGGTCTCCTATGAAGCCTAAGGCCAGCATGGTATGTGGTATCGGGCATCAAACTTGGGTCGTTATACTTGCCAAGCAGGCACTTAGACCGCTGAGCTAGTTCCCCAGCCCTTAAGAAATATTTTAAAACAATCATTTTATATACTATGGACTGAGGATTTACTAGCTGAAATTGTCACCTAAAAGTTTCATATCAATATATCTTAATATTTTTATTCAATTAAAATGCCATATAAGTTTCTGGAATGGTAATTCAAATTATTAGTCCTTTGTTGCATTATCCATAAAAACTAAAAATATACACTATACATAGTAAGCATTACATAGAAGCAATAATTAATAAGTATTTCCAAGATCACTAGTCTTCCTAGAGAGAAACACTCTGCATCTAAAAGATTTTTCATGATGAATTTCCAAACACAAATGTGTACAATGCAACTTCTCCATTTTTAATATTTAGCTTAAATCTTTTGGTGTATAAGGGTTTATATATAACCCCTACATATTCAGAGTTAATGAATAATATGGAAAAGCAAATAGATCTATAGATATAGATAAAGATGATAGATATAGATATTGACATAGGCCTAGATGTAGATATAGACATAGATATAGATAGATATAGGATAGGAAAGAATATGTCTTCTGATGACAGTCCCAAAGATGAATTTATGATGTTAATTTGCTTATTAAATAATACAAGATTTGCTATACTAAGAAAACTGTTTCAAGCAGTTTTTCATCTTCCTCAGAGGCCTGGTACATTCAGGGATTTAGTGATATATATTAATATATGTTAGAGAGAGAGAGAGAGAGAGAGAGAGAGAGAGAGAGAGAGAGAGAGAGGAGAGAGACAGAGACAGAGAGAGAGAGAGAGAGACAGAGAGTCTGTGCATATACATAAAACACTGTCTGAGTACATTTCAAATTGGAAATAATGCTTTGGTTGCTGCTGTTATCACAAGTGTTTGACATTTTCCAGGACAGA